TATATATATATATATATATATATATACTGTGTGTGTTGTATATACAAGGTTGCATTTACCTGATCAAAAAAAAAGTAATATTGTGAAATATTATTACCATTTAAAATATTCAAGAGCCTTGATAATTTACTTTAAATAAATATATAAACTCAAATTTTTTAAAAATGTTTGAAATAATTACATTTTGATTAATTAATTTAAATTAAATAGTGAAATAATCCATTTTCATTTTTAAAAATATTTGACAATAAAATATTAAGAATGATACTATTAAATTAAATAATGAATTTCGTCATTTTAATTGAATTAAAAAGTAATTTGTTTTGTAATTTAACGATGACAATATTACTTAAAAGGTTTGTTTTTTATAATGAATACAACTGCTTTAATAAAAAATATTAAGTTAACAATGAATTATTTAAGAACTTCAATAATTAAAATTATTGTTAATATTTCTAACAATGAAATTATTTTTAAAATTATTTTTGTTAATTTGAAATTTGTAACAACACTATTTTTGTGGGGGGGGGGAAACGTGTTTCACGGAGTAAAGGAAATATAGAATTAGAACGACTTGAGGGTAATTCCTAAGTTAACTAGTCCTTTAAACTGATATAAATGTATTTTCTATATATTTATTCTATAAAAATAACTAAAACTGAAGTGGTTACTCAAAATCCATGCATCATGAATCTCAAATTGATGAACTCAAGATGTCGTGACACTAATGTGACTCATGCTTCAATTACAACTTTGCCTTATTGTTTTTGTGTAAGATGAATCAGAATATGATGTAGCTGATATATGAGCCCCCCCCCCCCACTCACTTTCCCTGTCCTTCTCGCCCTCACTCTCCCGGTCGCCCTCGTAGCCGGAGCAGGAAGTGTCCAGGCTCCAGTCCAGGATGTCTCCCAGCAGCAACTCCTCCTGAGTGGACAGCTCGGCTGTGGGCGTGGCCAGGAAGCTGCCCCGGTGCGCCTGCATGCTGTCCTCTCGCCTCCTGATCAACAACAACAACAAAAAAAAAAGTAAAAATAAATAAATAAATGTTGAATGTTTTTGGTGAAAAAAAAAAAAAAATGTATATGTATATACATATATATATATATATATATATATATACTGTGTGTGTTGTATATACAAGGTTGCATTTACCTGATCAAAAAAAAAGTAATATTGTGAAATATTATTACCATTTAAAATATTCAAGAGCCTTGATAATTTACTTTAAATAAATATATAAACTCAAATTTTTTAAAAATGTTTTATAATTGATGCAAATATTTAATAATAAAATTTTTATAAAATGATAAATATTATAACTAATAATTAATACAAAAAATTAAATAAAGAAATGTAACTAAGAATAAAGATTCTATTATATATTATAACTGAATAAAAATTATAAAATGTTAAAAAACTAAATGAATGACGATTAACTAACCAATTAACTAACAATATATTACACACTTATTTTTAAATTATCATGGTTTGTCTGTTTATATATGACATATAATATTTTTCCTAATATTTTTTAGGGTCCTAGCACATAAAAAAGAAGGGAAAATTCTATACAAAACGTAGAAGAATAAATGGTGTACACAATTGTGGCAAATTGCAACTATTACAGTTGCAGAATTTAAAGGATTTTCTTAAATTATAGCCCCCCCTACAATCTGAAATGAATGATATTTGACATATCCTCCAACTGTCTTGGCGTTCATGTAGTAATATTGTGATTCCAAGATTGCACTCACGAGATAAAGGCCGTTACTCATTACAGGCTACACATGAAAAATGTTTCATATCCACCAAACGTAAAAAGTCAGGGTTCAAACACTAACATTATCCTGCATCTCGAGAAAGGATATAAGCGTATGCACGTAACGCGAGTTCACACCTCTTGCTGTTGCTGGCAGGAGAGGACAGGAAGGTGTGCATCTCTGCTAGCTGGCTGCTAGCGCTGGGTGCTTCCACCTGCGGCTCCACCTCTGGGACCTCCAGCACCTGACAGAGCTCCTTAAAGCCCATGACCTGAGACAGAAACACACGTCACCTCACACACACTTCAGCGGAGAGCGGACTCCGAGAGATGACGATGACACTCACCGCGTCTCTGCTAATCTGCTGGTATACGTCGTCCTCAAACCTCTGCTTGACTCCGGTCAGAGACACGTGTCTGTAGTCTTTGGGCACATCTTGACCGAAACTGTGAACGGAGAGAAACTTATGATTTGATTGAACGCATTTGATTTTTGCGACTGTTGCATGTGAGGTTGAGAGATGCAGTCTGATTGAGATCTTGACTGAAGCCCACGGAATATAATGCAACAATGTGCACTGAGGCTATACGATATACACTTTACTAGATTTTGGTCACGACTGAAAGGCAGTTATCAGCTGCGGGTGACACAACTAAAGCACATATTTTCTCAATTGCAAATGTATTCTTAGAAATCGAAGCTAAATTTCTGTAGTGTGCAAAAGGCTTTAAAGACACCATGAAACCAAAATGACAGCATTTACTTTGTAAATAATAAGAATAATAATAATTTTATATAAAACTAAAATAATGACCAATTATAATTAATAATATAAAATCACATACTAAAATTGTAACATTAATAATTATAATATCACTAATATAAAAACAAATAACACCAATAAATTCATAGATAAATTAATAATGATGATAAAAGTAATTAACGACAATTTATAACAATATTCAACTAATAACATTAAAATTAATATAAAAATATTAGAACTAATAATAAATAAAAAATACTATAACTAAAAAAATAACTAATATTCTAAAATTAATGTT